GGGATCCGAACCCTTGACCTTGGTGTTGTAACGTTGAGCTCTAACCAACTGAACTAACTGGCCAGCCTGAAACTGGAATATTGACTGTAGTTTAGATAATAGTATTGTTTCAATGTTGTTTCCTGTCATGTAAGAGCGTGTCCTTGTTTTTACGAAACACATATTGACGTGTTTAGAGGTAGAGTCATCATGTGTACAACTTATTTTCAAAGGGTTCAAAGAAATGCTATTCTTGCAACTTTTGTATAAGTTTGGAAATGATTTCCAAATAGGTTTAAAAATTAATTTTATAATTGTTTGATGTCTTTCATGAGGGAAAGGACCTACCACAATCTGTTTTCTGCTGTAGCTTCAGCTCTAGCACATAGTAGGCTCCAACAAGAAGTAATTATTGAGTGAATAAATGAATGAATGAACCTAAGCTATCTTCTGATCTGGGCTTCAGACAAGGGGCTGGGATTTTGGAAGTCAAGCTTTAGACAGGCAAGAGGCAAAACTCCTCTCTTTCTCTTGGCCTAACTCCTTGGAGCTCAAATCTGAGAGTGTAGATGTTTCTGAAGTTTGGGGAACCAAGACACTGCCCCAAAGTCAGGAAGGCAGCCCACAAGCAGAAGACAATTGAGTTATGCTTTGCAACAAGATGACCTGGCTAAATGTCATTTTCTAAGGCCATTCCCCCAAGGTTTACCCTACTCCCCACATCATCACCACCGTTGTTGGTAAAAGATTATTGACATGGTCTAGCCCTGATCTGGGCAGTGTTATCCCAAGGGATGAGTTCCAATCCTTTCTCTTGGGCCAGATCAGAGGAAAAGCAGCACTCCATAGGCCAGTGGCTGAGGTGAGCAGATGCCTTGGACAGGGACCTCAGTGGCCCAGCTGTCCACTCCACATGGAGATTAGAAAACAGGGTCAATTTCACTAACAGAGCCAGTGGACTTCCTCACATCATCACTGCAGCTGATTCACAGTCAGCCAAAATTTCTTGGGCACCTTCTGTGTGCCAGGCCCTGTGGTAAGGAGTCACTGCCAGGGGCTCTCAACCGCTCAGGAGAACAGGGGCTCTAGTTTCAATCACCCCCTCCTGGCCTCATGAGTTCCCCCTTCTGCCCACTGGCTTGCTATGACAGGAGACAAGGGAGACCTAGTGCCTTTTCTCTACTTATTCCTCTTTTTTTGAGGTAAGCCAAGACTGATGGGAATTTTCAAAAGGAAGTATATTAAGAGACTTAGGGAAATCCGGCTGGCTGGTTAGCTCAGTTGGTTAGAGTGCAGCATTATAACACCAAGGTTAGGGATTTGGATCCCCGTACCTGCCAGACACACACACACAGACAAAGACACACACACACACACACACACAAGGTTTAGGGAAAATCGAAGAGAAATAAACCAGGAAATAAACATCAAGTAAGACATACTGTCTAGCCATTCTGCAATGTGTACATATTTCAAAATAACATGTTGTACACGATAAATATATACAATATTTATTTGTCAATTTAAAAAGAAATTTTAAGAAAAAGAAAGTGGTATTGCATATAGTAGTAGTTTAAAAACAAGGTTCTGAGACCAGACCATCTGAGTTCAGCATCCTGGCTCTACCACTTTACTAGCTTGTGAGCAAGTTACTCAACTTTCTGGGCTTTGGTCTTCTCATTTGTAAGATAATAATGGTATCTAATTCTTAGGGCTATTTCAATTATTAAATGAGACAATCTGTGCTCAGTACAGTGCATGGCCAAATGCTAGACAAATGTTAACTATGAGAAACAAACAAATTCATGCCTATTCATACTCTCCTTCGTCCCTCTGACTCTCTCACCTTTTGACGAGCTGATCCCTCTGCCTGAAACATCTTCCCCTTCACTGCTTAACTCCTATATAGGACTCAGCTTAAATACCCTCCCCCTGCCAGGTTAGGTACCCCTCTTAAAAGGTCCGTTAAAAGCTTTTATAACATCCATTACTCCTTTGTAATGCAGCACTTATCTCAATCTACTGTAACTTGTGTATTTATCTGTCCTTTTCACTAAAGTGTGAGTCTCTTCAAGGCAGCGGCTAAGTCTTTTCAGCTCTATATCTTCTTTGCCTCCTCCTCTATGCCTACAGCACAGCAGACCACCCAAGCCCCATGCTACCCCTCAGCCCTGCCTCAGATCTCCTCCACCTCCTGGAATCTGGTTCCTGGGCCCTCTGGGACTGTGCTTTTATCCTCCTACCCTCAGAGCAGAACACAAGGCACCTATGGGGAGGGAGCCACTGCCTGGGCCACTGTGGGACCCTCAGTCAGGGCTTGTTCTACCTGGGACCTGGATCACCTGGAGGGACCATCATCCTGTCCACTGTTTCTCCCCAGGCCTGTAAGAGGGATGCTCATTCAGAATGAGACTGGGGGTAGACTCAAAAGAGAAAGGAGGAGAGGAGTCAATGGCACCATGGCTCAGACAGCATGGACAGAACAGGGTGGGACCCAGCTCGAGCTCCCTGTGGACTGAATCAGCATGCTGGGGTTCGTGCTCCCTGTACTGTCCTTGCACATTCCTACCCATGAAGTTCCCTGGAAGAAGGACAAGCTATCTCTATCATGCTAAGTGGTTTGAGCAAGGGAGAGGGTTGGGGTTGAAGGTTTAGGTGCTCAAGGAGGCAGGGGACCTTCCTTGGGGTGAGTATGGTGATTGTGATTGGAATCAGAGGATAGCATTAATGGGGAGGGGTAAAAACCCTGGATCTGGCTTGAAAGCACACTCCCCACTGGCTGCCCCCACTCCTAGCTCTCCTCAAGCTCTCTTTGCAGAATCTGATTGTGGCATCTGTAAGAAAGCTTTCATAAGTGTTCCCCAAACATGGTCACCTCCTCTCCCTTCCCCAGGGCTCCCAGACTCTCCCTCAGGCGTCCTGGGAGAGGTTTTACAGACTTTCCTAATCTTTTGTAGCATAATACCTACCAAGCCCATGAAAATTCTGCCAATAACAAGGGACCTCTTTTACAAGCAGGGATGTTTTCTCCTGAGGTGCTGCAGTGATGGGTGGGAGTCGCTGCTGTCTGCAGCCAGGAGAAAGCCCCAGGCAATTGAAGGGACTAGGGTGTTATAGAATGAGAATGTGGGAGCCATCCTGCACACCTTCCCCTCCCCCAGACAAAAGTGGGGAGATGGCACTGCAGTGATGGCAAGGCTGGCTGCTCCGGGGTGGGGAGAAGTCGCTGCAGATATGGGGGATCCTCGCTTGGAGTGAGTGATCGCTGAAGTGACCACAGGAGCTAAAGGTACCTGCAGGGATGGAGGTTTTCTGCAGTCATGAAAGAGCACTTCACAAAGAAAGGAAAGTGGCTGGCTTCTTGGGGGAAGAGTCCTACAGTGATGGAGCGCTGGGGTTCGCTGCGGTGAGGAGGGAGGGTCACTGCAGTGATGGGAAGCCTACACAGGACGGGGGTTGGGGTGGGCTGGTTGCCATGATAATGGAATAGTTGGGGTCGCTACAGTGCCGGGGGGGTTGCAGACTGAGCAGCTCTGCTGCATTTGCACGACGCCTCACTTCTTGAAGGATGGAAAAGGGTGGGGCCTCGATCCCGCGCTGATGTGGAGATGCGCGGCGGCGGGGACGCGGCCCCTGCACTGCGGTGCCCTGCCTAGCTCGGGCGGCTGAGGCCGGCGCAGAGGCGGTACCGCGCCGGAAGAAGGCGGGAGCTTCGTCCCGCCGCAGCGGCAGGCGGGGCAGAGGCAGGCTGGAGGGGTGGCCTCACCGAATGGGGGCGGGATCACCACCAGCAGGGCCCGCGCCCCTGCGGGGACTCAAAGCGGCCGCAGCGGGAGTACGGAGCTGGCGCACAGCGGGTGCCGGGACTGAGTGCAGCCCGGGGCGCAAAGCGGTACCACCCACCCTGGTCCAGTTGCGGTGCCCACAACTCCGCCGAGGACGCCACGGTGAGGCTGGTGCTGTCCGCAGGGAGGGGGGCGACACCAAGACTCAGTCCGCAGCATCCCCTGCGGGGCAACGGCTACTGCAGCTGTCCTCCACTCCCAAATCAGCTCTTCCAGGGTTGGGAGGGGTACCCTGGACGGATCCCATGGACCTGCCCGCCCCGACATCGTTCCCGGTCTTGCCTACGAGAGAGCCCCTCTTTTCGCTTCCCTATCTCGTTCTTTCCACCCAATCCCCTCCACTCCGGCTGCAGCCCCTCTCAGCGCCCCCGTCGGATGACACGCCGTCGGATGAGAAAGACGGCGGCCCATTCGGCTCCCGATCCTGCTGTCCCTTGCTGGGCTGGGGGCACTCGGAAGGATGCTGGCCCTTTAAACCTTTACTCCCCACCCAGAGCATCTTCCCTCTCTCCACCCGCGCCGCTTCCGACAGCTGGCAGCCGCGGGGAGCCCCCGGGGGCCGGCAGGTACGGGGGCGGCGTGAGGCCCGGGAGAGGGTGATGGAACAGCTGTAACCGCCACTCCCCCCCCCCCCC